CAAGGTTGGTGAGTAGGAGTGTGTGGATTGGGATCTGGAGTGAAGGACTGGAATTCAGGAGTTCCTGTGCCTGGAGATGATGCAGTTGTCTGAGGATGCCCAAGGCATTTTGCAGCCTAGAAGGCACTTCTGTGATCTTTCCAAATGGGAAAATCTCTTGCCATCTGCTGTGCTAGGTTCTAAAGCCAGGTTGCACAGTAGAGTTAGTAAAACCATGTGTTTCCCCCTTCTGTAGAACAGGGGATAAGTGCTCATTTCCCCCTGCGGGGGTTGGCTAACAGTGGATATGTGTGGGCCAGTGAAATGCTGTCTGGATCACCACATCTTAGATGTGATCTGTCTTCTGTGTGTCCCCAGCTTAGCAGACATGTTTTAGCAAAGTGTCTTGTTTCTTTATTATTTTTTTTTTTTTGTATGAAAACAAAGCAGCAGAGGTGCCTGGCTCCTCCTGCTGCACCAGTGACACTTTGTTTTGCTCTGGGGGCACTGACCGCACCAGCTGCTTTAAGGAGGATGCAAGTTCCTAAGTTCTGCTCCAGTGTGAAAAGGAGCGAATGGTATTTCCTTCAACAACACATGCTTTGTGTTTCCACATGATTTCAGTTATACAAGCTTGCTTACCAAAGCAGCAGAGGTGCCTGGCTCCTCCTGCTGCACCGGTGACACTTTGTTTTGCTCTGGGGGCACTGACCGCACCAGCTGCTTTAAGGAGGATGCAAGTTCCTAAGTTCTGCTCCAGTGTGAAAAGGAGCGAATGGTATTTCCTTCAACAACACATGCTTTGTGTTTCCACATGATTTCAGTTATACAAGCTTGCTTACTTCATGTCCTTTTATTTATTTGAAAACTTCCCTCAGACAGCAGGGAAAGTGCTGCAAACCCACTGTAACGTTCAGCAGCCGTAGAGCAACTTAGAGCAACTTGGCATGCAGCAGGGAACGAGCATGCCTCTGGCACTTTGTTGCCAGCACAGATGACGTGTGGCAGCAATAAGGGCTTTAAGAACAGCTTTCTTGGAAGTGCCACTGTGCTGTGCTCTGCCCTGCTCTCAAAGAACAGAGTGAAAAAGGCACAGAATCGGCTTGTGTTCATAGGTGGGTTATTTGTTGGTTGTGCTGACCTTGCCTCTGCCCCTTCAGGAGGAGCATGGAGTAAGTCCTTTGTGGGGGGAAATGCACTGGAGCTGCCCACTCAGGATACTTACATGGCCGTTCCATGGTGCCACAATTGTCAGTGAGGGGACAGCGTTGGATGCTGGAGACCAGGGATACCGCCTCTTAAAAACTGATGTTCAGGCAGGACGATCTTGTGCACTCACACTATCAGTTGCCAGGATTGTGCATAAATGTGCTTGTTTTCTGACATTGCAAACTCAGTCTTGTAAATGTTGGGGAAATAGTTGGTATCTGAATTTTCTGTATCTGCCAATATTTAATTCAGGGAGCAAATAAAAACTATCCTGGTATTACTGGCTTGTTTGCTTTGTTTGACTTGGAATTGTCTGTCTCCAGTTGTGGCACATGCCTGAGCAGGGCTTAATGGGTCAGCTAAATCGCTACTTTTTCCTCAAGAGAATTTAAGCACAATAGGCAGGTAGGAATTCAGCACACCATTGAATCGGTATAAATGTTCAGTGATAACTCATTACCTCACTGTTTAGAAGGAGAGAACAGTTTATTAAAACTTCTGAACTTAGAATCCTGAAATGGGTGAGGTTTGCTTTTGCATGCAGTTATGTTGCAAAGATGAACCTTAAATCCTGTGCAACCTGTTACCCTTTGCCATGATGAGAATTGGTGGGAATGCTGGCTGTTGGGTACTGCATCGTGCCCTCCTGATGTTGGGCGGTAGGAACTGGCAGAGAGGGGGAAGGATAGCTACAGAGCTCTTAGTAAAAACGTTTACAAACCAGCTGCAAGACTTGGCAATTCTAAAATCTCCTTGGGCATCTGCAGTATTTTTTTTTTTCCTTTTACAATGTAAAGATGGCTTAAAAAATAGGTTTAACGTGTAGTTCTGTAAATGGTTCAGTTTTGCCAGAGGGTCTTGATTCTTTGTGCCAAGTAACAATTCCACTTCTGTTTTTTCCACATTCCTTCCTCCTTTGCTCCATAGTAGACAACTTCTTCATGGTGTGAGCTGCTTTCTTACCCAGGGGTTAAGATCCAAGGGGAGAATGTTGCTGTATGGCCAAATATCCTTCAGCCCTAGGTGGTGTGTGCGGAGGGGTGGTTTTACAGGTGCCGAGAACAGAGTAGCAAAAAGGAGACAAAGTAGGACACTTGATAGTCTCCAAGGTGGGGTTCTGGCATAGCGCAGCATCCTTATGGGCTGTGTATGCTTTTTTAAAGGAGCATTAATTGCATTGCTTAAGTATAGGGTGGGCTTGTTGCTGTCTGTTGCTTTCAGTCAAGACTGATGTTTGGTTGGAAGATTGGAAATGCCTTTGAGAGCAACCTTGATTGCGTGATCGTTGCTATCCATCTTTTTGAGCAATGCAAGCAGTATTTTTATTTTTTTCTAAGGCCATAGTAGTCAACTTGTCTGACTTCCCAGCTGACATGGATGGATGGATGAACATCACCTGGTGTTCCTGTATCAAACCCATAGCTTCAGTTAACAATAGTGCGCCCTTTAGAAAAAGAGAATAGTTTTGTGTTGCTTAAAGGTGTAAGTGATGGAACTCAAGTACATCCACCTCTGCTTTGGGCTGTTCTGAGGTGCACTAAAATGCCTGGAGCCTGTTTACTCTGTAAGGAGCAGCAATGTGATCGATGCTGCAATTTTTAAGTGTAGACACAAGCCAACAGCCTGTTCACAAACTCTTCCTTGTGGACCTCAGAGTGCTTAGCAAATCCCCTACTGCTAATTTCTTTGGCTCTGTGTTCTTAACCTCCGCTCATTAAGAGAGTCGCACTTCACAAGACCTCTGCGAGCAGTTAAATCAATCTATCGATTGAGTTTATTCAGTTGCTTGGCTTGTTTTAAATAAAAGGCAGCTGTAACAATGAGAGTTCTCCTATCGCCCTGGGGGCGTGTGGCACCCCTCCTCTGGGCTACAGGTGCTCCCTTGGGAGCTCGGCACTTCAGAAAATTGCCCTTTTGGTGACAATGGTGTCTAACACGTACTATGCAGGCTCCAAGGTGCATCCGTGACTGTGCGGGGAGGTGGCCAAGACAGTGACCCTGTCAGGGGAAGATTGTAATTCTTTCACATGGGCCCAGCTTTTGGGGGGAGGAGGTGTTGTGAAAAGACTTTAAGATGAGCTCTGTCAGGGTTGACACAGTAAGAAGCAGCTTAAACTAAACTTCTCCATTCCTGACCTGGATTCTTCTTTCCCAGTATGCTAGCTTTTACCACAGAGCTCCGAGCATGAGGAAGTGACAATCTTCCAAGAGCTGATGTGGAAACATGGGAGAGCCTCACGCCTCTTACACCTTCTGCTTACCTGAGGTTGTCCCTTGATTTTTATTTTTTTTTTAATTTAATGTCAGATCCTTCACACAGTTTAGCAGTGCTGCCCAGATAATTGCTAGCAACACCTACAGGACTCTTTCATGCATGAAGAGGCTATTTAGCTGATGCCTGCCTGCCAGCCTGAGGAGCTTGGCTCTGTTCCCTATAAGATCTCTCTGGCTCCTCTTCCTACGGCAGGTGTCTGGCGCTGAGGGCTGGTGATCTAGTCTCACGCCCTGTGCAGGCTTACAGTGTGGTTCTTCCTCTGCATTTGTTCCTTCTAATCCAGGACAGTGCAAGGCGGTTCTTGCCCTTCCTGGTGGCGGGTGTTCCCCAAGCTCCATCCACCCCAGGTTTGCTCTCAGCCACAGCATCAGGGAACTGCTGACGGAGAGGGTTCCTCAGCGCCCCTTGGGTGCCAGCGAGGTGTCCAGAGGGGAAGCCAGCCAGCCCAAGACTGCTGCGGCACAGAGGCAAGTCCTAGGGGCTGGGGTCAGAGAGCTCATGACTGTAGATAAGAGAGCAATAGGGTCCAGGGAGAGAGAGGATGGGGAAGAAACCACAGGGCCAAGGAGCTGGTACGTGCACAGTCAAAGAGGCCATGGTATGTGGAAAGGAGAATGCTCATGAAGAACAGAGGAGGGAGTCTGCTTGGTGAGGAATTGAGGCTGGGGAACTTGAAGGGACCCTGCAGTGTCCAGTGCCTGAATATCAGGGATGGTTGTTGGATGGTGACAAGGGGTTTGGAGGGAAGCCACAGCTGGAGAGGAACTGGGCTGGGAGGTACTGTGCTCCTCTTGTGCAGCAGAGTCCCTGTGTTGGGTGGCCATCAGATACAGAGTATGGGGAGCTCAAAGGGGTCTGGCCATGGGAGGACAGGGTGGAGCAGGGATATACCTCAGGTTCTGTAAGCTGTACTTGTGTAGTTGTATGAGGAGTGTGGGGAAGGCTGGGGGGGATGTGAAAAAGGACCAGGGCTGCAGAGACGGAAGGGGAGGCCTGGGGCATGTACGTGAGAAGCAGTGGAGGTTGCAGGACGCAGGAGCACACGTGGCACAGGAGTGACCATGTGTGTTAAGTAGCAGCCATGGGTGTAAGAAGAGAGCAGGTAAAGCTGAATGGGGGTGGGGAGCCTGGGAGGGGTATGTGGGTACGTGCCAGCTAGCACCGGGAATGTGGGGAGTACTAGGCTGTATATAAAGGGACGTGGGTGTAAAGTAAAAATCCAAACCCACCCACAGGCCGTGCATGACCAGGGAGATGGTGAGGGGTGCAGTCCTGGGGGGACGTGCACCCGGATGGGCTGCAGCAGGAGCAGTGGTGGATGTATGGGCTTTATGATCTTAAAGGTCTTTTCCAAACCTAAACGATTCCATGATTCTATGTATGGCATTGGGGAGAGGGGTAGATGGGTGCGGGTGGGGGTCGGGGGCTGATGGGGGTCAGTTCCAGCCGGGGGGGGGGGTGTCTCTAACGGGGGGGGGACCACCGTG